GGGCGAGAGGAAGGCCTGACTCTTTATCAAGTGCAGTTCCATCTTCTTCTTTCCAAGAGCTCAGAAAACCACATGTGGAGTGTTCCCAGACAGTGATTAGTGTGTGTTCAGGGGGAGCTTGTCACTTCTGGTCTCTGAGTCACCCATTCACACCTCCTTGAGTGCCACAGACCTTTCCTGGTGCTGATTCACAGCCAGCCATGTCAGCATCTGTCCCCGACTGTCCGGTCTGATACTCACACTGCATGGGGCTTGAGCTGGCGCAGTCAAATGCAACTCAGGTGATGTTCTTGGACCCAGTCAGATAACAAGGGGCTGGTAGTCTCTTCTAGCTGGCTGGTGGGGGCTGGCTAACTCAGGTTAGAAACTGGTGTTGGTGGTGGAGAGGGCAGAGGAGTAGGTTGGGGACAGCTAAGAACAGTGCTCAGAGACATTTTAGACAATGTCTGGACTTGGACAGCAAGGCCAAAGCAAAAAAGAATAGTCATCAGCTCACTACCTGGGGTGCAGCAGGTGCTCAAATATTTATTGATGAATGAATAATGAATAAATTTGCCTTGGGTTTGGGAGTTTAGAAAACATGTTTTTATGTGTTGTATTCTTGTAACCTCACAATAATCATAGTTGGGAGCAGGATAGATAATGGGTTCCATTTTGTAGATGAGAAGATAGTTTAGAAGAGAATAAGATGAGAAAGAAGTTTAGAGGAGAATAATAAGCGGGGGGGAAGGGGGACATGGCTTTTGTAGTTGGGGATGTTCAAACACAAATCCCACCACCTCCGATGCTGACATCAAGGTTTTAAACCCTAAGGGTGGTTGTCTGAGTCCAAAAGGACTGTTGTCAAGGGGTAGAGTATGAGCCTAACAAGTGTGAAACAAAGGTAAAACCCCAAGTTCAAACCCCAGCAAAATACTCTCTCTGTCACTCTCGCGTGCGCACGCGATATTTTCTCCACTTTAATCTGTTTCATAACCACTGTTTTCCCTCTTCCTTCTATTCTGTCTTTTCATTTCTATTCTCTATTCCCACTTGACAGCCCTTTAATCTCTAAGACCCTCCTCTGTATATGTCTGTTTTTCTGTCTGCCCTTCTCTTTGCCTCTCTTTACTCATCTTCCCTGAGATGACTAGCCTCTGCTTCTTGTCTTTCTTCCTAGTAGTTTCTCTTTACATTCATCTCCCATTCTGTCAGATCCTCTCTTCTCTGTCCTTATATTCTCATCCCACTTTCCACTTCTGTTTCCTCTAAGTGTGTGAATATTTTAATAGCCTTCATGTCTCTCCAGGACCCGTAAGTCTTCCTCTGACTCAAACTTGGTAAGTCTCCAAAGAGCTTCATTTTGGGAACTATTCATTCTCCTCATTCCCCTGTTACCTTACCCTGTATAAAGTTAAAGAACAATGGACAATCTGACAGTCCTCCTTTGTCTCTATCCTATACTCCTGTACAAGCAGGATATGGGATGAATAGCCAGAATGGGACAAAGTGGGACTATATCTTGGTCAGTGTCTTGGTTTTAAAAAAAAAGGACTGGTTGTAGTCAGAGCCCATGGTCCATATCTGTAATCCCAGCTACAGAAGAGACAGAAATCTGAGGATCATGATTCAAAGCCCACATGGATACAGTTTTTATCTCCAATTAGCCAGCAAAATGTCAAAGTGGAGGCATGGCTCTAGTGATAGAGTGCCAGCTATGAGCAAAAAAAGCTGAGTAAGAGCTAAAGGCCCTGGGTTCAGGCCTCAGTAATGTCAGAAAAACAACAACAGAAACAAAAGGCTGGTAGGTGGCGGCAGCACCTATGTCTTCTCTTCTGGTGTTCTTTAGTATGTGTTCTTCCAGACTCTGCTGGGGAGAAAAGAGGGAGGAATAAATACTGAGTCCTTCTCTAAAAAGCATATGGTGTTTTTGAGAAACTAAGGTGAACTAAGGTGGAAAAAAAGATAATCGATTTAAACAATGTGCCCAAAAGGAAGAAGGAACTAATTCTAACAGAAGCAAATAAATAAGTACCACAGAGATAATGACCCTGTCCAAAGGCACTACTGTGTCCCTAGTACATAATGAGCAGATAGGATAATAATGAATGAATGAATGAGTGAGTGATGTGAGAAGCTTTCAAGGCATCTTCGAGTTTCATAAGAAAGAAATTCAGAGTCGAACTTCACAGACAGAAGAGGAAATACAATTAAGATGAAGGATTCGGAGAGGTGAAGATACCATTTACATGATGATGCTCAAAAGGTTTCAGATCTTAGAACATTTTTAATCTCAGAGTCTTCAGCTGGGGATTCTCACCAAGTAAATTCCATGCAGATATTCTGAAATCCAAGGAAAACTCTCAGGTGTGAAATACTTCTGGTCTGGAAACATGCTGGGTAAGGAGTATACAACCTGGAGAGAGTGAGGTCTAGCTGGCTTCCTTGGTGCTGGTTTACCCATCTCCCCAGCTGTGGCCATGTGCTTCCATGCTTTGCTTTCCCTAGGCAATACCTTTGGCCACATGAACCTGCCTCGTTCAGGGAAATGTCCCTTTAGCCATTGACTGGCAGACACAGAATGCAAAGCCCTAGGTCCCGTGTTTCAAGTTGGCTGTACATAAATGGCTGCTACAGCTCCAGAGCTCTCTATAGAATCAGATGAGGCTTCAAATCCACACTGTAAGTCCTTTACTGAATCCTGCCTGTGTCACTTTGTACCGATGTATTTCCTAAGGGGTCTCTACAATGAGCCTTCTGTATATAACTACATTTCAGAGCCTGATGAGGGTAAACTGACCTAAGATTGTATGTTTGAGGAATAAGAAGCAGCATGTGGCTAGGGGATAAAGGAGATGAGGACTGGCTAAATATAGCTGAATGGGTAGTCAGGGATCAGATTACCAAGACCCTCGAAAACCAAGGAAACTAATTTATAGACTCCTTTGTAAGTACTGGAGAACTATTGATCAGACATGTATCTAATTAGAGCTCAGATTCACTGGGTACACTGGCAGTCCGAATAAAACACGGAACAGAAAGAGGTAAGATAGGAGACAGGAAATGAGTTAGAAGATCCAAGCTGTGGTAAAGCCTAAGGAGGGAAAAAAAGGGAGAAGGAAGAAAGAATGGTGCATAGACAGTACCAGTAGTGTGGCCGTTCCTGCTCTTTGCATCCCCCTTTTTTGCAGCTCTGTACTGAGTCATGGATCATGGAAGAAGATGATGTCTCTTATTACTGTCTGTGTAACATTCCTTGCAACTGTGGGAGTCATACATATTCCAGTGTGGGGTACCCATTTTTGCAGGGGGGGCTATTCCTTTAAAACATAGCATCAGAAATTCTCATCTGTATCCTCTGTGTTATAGGCTTCATCTTATAGAATTCTATCGGATTGAATTTTAGCTATTCATAGATAAAGGTTATGTAGTCCATTCATGTGTTGGGATCCTTATTTTGAACAAACCACCATTGTTAACAGTCCTGACAGTGTGGCTTACAAGCAATAATCTGAAAAACAATGTCCTAGTGTCTTAGTGCCAGACTGTGTTTGGGTTCTCACCTTGCTGTTTATAGAATGTGCTGTTTGGAATTAGCCTACAATCTTCCACAGCTTCAGTTTTATGAGTTGAATACCAGGTTGGCATAATAACGTTGGTATCGGGATCTATACAATCATACAGTTGCCATAGAGATCTCTAGAAGTTGTAAAAGCCAATCTGGCCAGTTACATAATGGGAAGACTCTTTAAAAACTGTTTTTCATCATCATTGTATAGTTGTACCAAGGAATTGCCATCTAAGAAAGCAGTTTATGAATGTAGTGCATCTTGATCAACATTCTCACCCCTCCTTGGACCAACCTTTCCCTTATCCTAATTTTGAGGTTTATACAATGACTGGGGTTTTTGGTTTTTTTTTTTGTACTTGCTAGGCAAATGCTTTGCCACTGAGCTACATTCAAACCTTCATATATAATGAATTCTTTTTTTTTTTTTTTTTGGTCGGTGGAGGGGCTTGAACTCTGGGCCTGGGTGCTGTACCTCAGCTCTTCGGCTCAAGGCGAGCACTCTACTGCTTGAGCCACAGCACTACTTCCGGTTTTCTAGTGGTTTAATTGGAGATGAGTCTCACGGACTTTCCTGCACGGGTTGGCTTTGAACCGCGATCCTCAGATCTCAGCCTCCTGAATAGCTAGGATTACAGGCGTGAGCCACCTGTACCCGGCATTATGTATAATGAATTCTTGACTGCATTCTTCTCCCTTCCCCCTTCCCTTGTCTTCCCCTCTCCCCCTGGCCCCATTGGATGTGTCCAGTTCCTAGTGTTGATTTTGTTGGACTTCAACTTTGTCTTTCTAAAAGACTATGGAGTCTTTCTTTTGAGGCCAAACTTGGTATAAACTTAGTTTTGGACACTTTCTAAGGAAGGTGGTCTTTAGTAAGGCATTTCAGGTTTTTAAGACATAATTCACCTATTAGTAAGATGGAAATCTCACACCTAACCTCCCGAGTTTATGGCAAATAATGAAATAAGATTTATAAAGTCCTAAGTCTATTTCTCTTTTTCACGCATGTCTTAGAAACTATGTGATGGTATACCTACTTTTTCCCCTCTTTTTAACCATGTATTTGTGTTATTCTTGTGATTACAAATAAAACAAATGAGGTATCAAGCTGGGCATTGATGGCTCATTCCTGTAATCGTAACTACTCAGGAAGCTGGGATCAGAGGATTGAGGTGGAAACCAGCCCAAGCAGAAAAAGTCTGAGATTCCATCTGAAAAAAGGTAACCAGCAAAAAAACTAGGCTGAAGGCATGGCTCAAATGGTAGAGTACTATCCTTGAGTCAGCACAGTGAGCTCAAGGCACCAACTTCAAGCTTTGGTACCAGCAAACAAACAAACCAAAACCGAACAAAGCCAAGCAAATCATAATCACACAGAAAATGAGTCCAAGTTAAATATGTAATGCAGTGATGCAGCTGTCTCTGTGATTTAACCATCCCCTTTCTCTCCAAGGGAAGAAGCGATGCTGTCCACATACTTTGAAACCATCAATGACCTGCTGTCTTCCTTTGGGCCAGTCCGTGACTGCTCTCGGAACAATGGGGGCTGCACTCGCAACTTCAAGTGTGTGTCTGATCGCCAGGTGGACTCCTCGGGATGTGTGGTGAGTGCCTATTGGCCCAGAAACATGGTGTTCTCTCAGGTGCCACAGCCACCTGTTAGAAATGTCTCCCTGCCAGGGAACGCAAGTCAAGAAGGTTCAGAACTTTAGTACTCAGAACTTTAGCTTCTGCGCCCTTGGGCACACCAGGCTGCTTCAGGTTTCTCATCTGTGGAGCGGAAGAATCAAACCTACCTCTTGGAATTGTGGGAAGAATGAGAGGAGATAATTATAACTTGAGTGTCTGCCATATAATAAATAGGTCCTTAAGAGGCCCTGGCTTCCGGAAGCTTATAAGCATTTTGAAAGTAAAGGAATGCATGCTTTATCTCTGTGAATACATTAGGGGGGAAGCAGGGTAGAGTCAATGAGCTGTAAATAATGCTTTGGGAAGTCCAGAAGAGAAAGTTGCGGCAGAGACTTAAGGGTTATAAGAGTCTTCCTTAGAACGCAGATGACCAAGACAGAGGGATAGGGTGATGAAGATCATCTTGTTGGCATGGAGTTTCAGTATCTACTGTGAAATAAGGACATGGCATAACTAGCGATCCCAATTTCCTAGACAAGAGTGTCCCCATAGTTGACTTTGTTTTGTTTTGTTTTGTAAGCATGACCTGCGTTTCAAAATGTAAGTTCCAAGGTTATACTCCCCCCCCCAAAGGGGTTTGAGTCCCTGGAACCTGAACATTTACGAAGTAAATAAAAAAGAGAAAGAATGGGGGGATAATTATGTGTGCATTCTGGAGTGTCTTGGAAATCTACAAGGGAGATGTTTCACCCTAGGCTAAAGGGAGTCTGGCATACAGCGTCCTTCTTCTTTTGGCCCCTTTCCAACCTCTCCAGCTGCATCTCTCACCACTTTGCTTCATTCTACGTGAGAGCCGAATGCAGCTGATTAAATGTAGTTCTTTGAACATGCTGCCTGTTTATTGCCTCACAGCCCTCACTGACAGAGTGAATTGCTCTATCAGCCCTGGAGCACACAAGAGGACATATTTGCAGACCCATCATCTTCCTGACGTCTTTCCCCTCCCCTGCTAGCCAGTGGTGGTGCTCTTCCCAGACCATTGCTGTTCTGCTACCCACACTTCTTCTATCACCCATGACACATTAGAGCACAGAGGGGCTCTACAGAGTTTGTCTCTTCCGATAAACGGAGGAGGAAATCCAGAGACTTTATTGATTCAGCTCAGCACCCTGTCACTTCCCATCCCAGTAAATAAAAAGAAAGGAAAACAGGAAGAGAGGGAGTTGAGAAGGGACAGAGATCCCTGCTCTGCACTGAGCTCTCTGAATGAGACCCAAGGAAAATGTAATGTATAAAAACAACAGTCAACACACCTACATAGCAGCTCTGGGGGGGAAAGGACCCCGTATAAGAAGAACTTCTAGAATATCAGATGATACAATGAAACTTTTTTTTTCAGGTCATAGGGCTTGAGCTCAGGGCCTGGGTGCTGTCCTTGAGCTTTACCCCTCAAGGCTTGTGCTTTACTATTTAAGCCACAGCTTTACTTCTGAAGCTCTATTTTAGAGTCGTGTGTGTGTGTGTGTGTGTGTGTGTGTGTGTGTGTGTGTGTGTGTGTGTGTGTGCCACTATGCCAGTCCTGGGGTTTGAATTCAGGGGCTATGGCACTATCCCTGAACTATTGTGATCAAGGTTAGCATTCTACCACTTGAGCCTCAGTTCTACTTCTGGCTTCTTTGGTAGTTAATTGGAGATAAAAGTCTCAACAGGCTTTTTTGCCCAAGCTGGCTCCAAACCACAATCCTCAGATCTCAACCTCCTGTGTAGCTAGGATTAGAGGCATGAGCTAACAGTACCTGGCTAATGACAATTCTTAGTACTACATGTGGAAGACAACACAAAAGATTTCATGCAGAAAGGGTAAGTCCAGGGGCTTGAGTTAAGGCCCAGTTAGATCATGGGCCTCAAACAATATCATTGGGACAACTCTCCATTTCCCAACTCTGCTTTCCTGATCATGCCGTTCTCTGGCCTGCTATACCTTCTCTACTCAGTGAGTCCTTTCCTGTCTCTCCAGCTGTATTGTCAGGTTGATCTTATTAGGTCCACTTGATTGTTTCCCCTTCCCACCACCACTGTACTAACCAATCCCTGTGGTCCATGGTGGTGGGACCAGCAGTCTTCTGAATGAATCACATTGGGAGCTTCAGCTAGAGGAAGTTGCCCTTGAAATCTCTGCCCTTGAGATGGGGAAAGATATAGACTCTTGAGGAACTGTGGAGGCCGTCAACCGAGCAAGATGTTGTTTGATGGGGATACAGCAGCAGCCATCTACTTCCAATTACCACAGCCTAGTCTTTAGTTTGGGGAAAAAGTAATGTCCAATGAGGTAAAGGAAGGTTTATCTGAGTCTTAGAGCTAATTGGTAGACAATTTCCAAAGACTATACCAAATTCATGACATCTCTACAACACAGGTGATTGCCTTTTACAAAAGCACGGAGCTGTTGGCCTCTTTCCTTTTTGGCTTCCATTCTCTTTCTTGAATTGAGCTCCTTCTCCTTCAGAGTTGGTGCTCCAAAAGACAGATGCCTCAAAATGCAAGGGGTGTGTGTGTGTGTGTGTGTGTGTGTGTGTGTGTGTGTGTGTACCCAGGAGTTATATGTCTTTCTCTCTCATTAATATACACAGGGGGGGCCTGGGGGGAGATAAGAAAAAGCACACTCATTCCCTGTAGGTTAGGAGAAAATTCAACAGCCTGATGAGGTTGTCAGAGACTTCCTTCTAGATTAAGGGTATAATGTTAAAACTGCAGCTCCAGGGCTCGGTAGATGAAAGGCAGGCTCTGCTCTACAGAATAGGCAAGGCAATATCCATTTTCGCACTGAGATTTAAAGCCCTATCATTCCTCTATAAGACTCTATTATGCTGCAAAGAGAAACTTTTTCTCAACCCCCTTTCTAAGGAATTCACTCTGGTCTAAAAATAATCATACCTTATAATTTTTTTCAGAAAATATCTACTTCCTAAAACTCTTCCTTATAACAAAGCTAGACTTTGAGTTCTCTCAAGGATGAAGAAACAACGCTCTGGTAGTAAGAGTGCCTTTCTGAGGACTTACCATGGGTAGCAAGACAGAGAGGGGTCAAGGCCACCTCTTCAAGGCCATGTTTTGGGCCTCAGCACTTTGGGTCATTTTTCCATGGAGCTGAGAATCGATAGAAGTAAAGAACCATGGAAGTAAGGTTGGTCTGAGTGGATTATACCTGATCTTTAAATTGTCCATTAGCTGTCCAGGGACTAAATGCATCTAGATAGACTCAGTCTCTTCATACTTCAAAAAGGATCAATGGTTCTTCAACTCACTTTTCCTGCAGTCTCAGATAAGACAACTGTCAGTGAGTTGAGAGGTACAGAGTGAAATTTCTCTGTGACATGAGACTACATTACTGCTGGACATACCTCTAATCCTAGATACCCAAGAGACTGAGTTCTGTCATGGTTCATAACTAGACCAGGCAGAAAAGTCTGTGAGACCCCATTTACAATTTGAACTGGGGAGATCAGGTCTGGCCAGCACCATCTTGGCCACATGCTGGATGGTAGGATCTGGCATCTTGTCTTCATGATAGGGGAAGGGGAAGACCCTCTCTAATCTCCCCCTCTTCCCCATAATGGGCATGCCTGAATCCCTGGAGGCAGGGGCGGGGACTTGGATGATAAGTTATTAAACCTGTCAGTCCAGGGCTTGGGACTCAAGTTTCCTGTGACCCTGCCCTCTGACCTTACCGTATTTAGGACCAGACCAGCTCAGGTGCCATGACATTATGCCACATGTTTCCGTGTTTGTGTTCTGTCTCTTGGCTCCTGGCTCTTCTCTAGTCTCCATGGTTTCCCACTTCAGCTTTCCATTGGAGCTGAATTGGTTTGATGGTAATGTTTTTGTTCTTTCTTTCCCCTTGGCCTTCATGGCTCAGTTTCCTAAGTGTTGTGTATTTTCTGGCTGCTGGTCTCTGAAACAGGTTTCTACCATGCATTCACCAGCCTTTTAATAAAGACTCCTTATTCAATCCTTCAAAATGTGGCTTCTCCATTTTTCTCACCTAGCAAAAAGCCAGGCTAGAGACATGGCTCAAGTGGTAGAGGGCCAGCCATGAGCAAGCAGGCCAAGTGAACATGAGGCCCCAAGTACAAGCTTCAGCATTGGCAAAAAGAAACCATGTTGTTGACATTTTATGTAACATCTGTGGTACTGGAGCTGAATTCATAAGCTTAGATTATCCAGCTTCTTAGAGTGTCCTGCAACAAAGCAGTCATTTCAGTTCTGTTCCATCCATTTGTCAGTAGCCATTTAATTCTAGTCAATTCTGAGTTTTTATCTCGTACCTCTGCCTGAATATTCAAGTCTAAGAAGGCTGAGAGTGTCCATAAGTATAAAGGCTGGAGGATATTGGTGCTCAGTCATCAACAGTTGGCCAGATAACTGCTCTTTCTTCCCCTCAGCCATCACTCCTTCTCTTACATCTGAAAGACCTCTCTGTTCCCACCTGATACACAGGTGTGTGGTTCCTGTTGCCTTCTGCTACTTGGTGCTTTTCATCTAACCACAGGTTCATTTTAGACCAGCTGGCTATGTCTCTAGTTAGCTTTTCCACCCTTGTGAAAGCATTAGAAATGTCCAACAGCTTTTCTATGGCACCCTGTGGATCTGACAGAGGCTCCCAAAGCTCCCCTTCACCTAGACTTATAGTGAAGACATCTGTAGTCAGATGTTTTTATGCAAGGAAGAGCACTTGACCATGCCTGCCCTTGACCAGATGCTGTCAGCCAGGTAAGTCACAGAGCCCTTCAGTCCGTTGGTGTGTGTGTGTGTGTGTGTGTGTGTGTGTGTGTGTGTGTGTGTGTGTATGCAGCATTAGTCTCTGTGTGTCTGTGTGTTGCTAGGAATTAAATTCAGGGCATTGCAGAGGTAAGGTGAGCCCTCTACCACTGAGCTGTATCCTCAGCCAACTGACCAGATTTTCTATAAGCCTTCA